GTAAATTTACATTTAAAACGGTGGAAACAATTCAAATCTATCATTGTTTCAGAGTCCAAGAGGCCCAAATAATATTCTGAGGATTGGTTGGATTATAAAATGACTAAGATTTGTTAATGACTTTGCAGATAATGAAAAATTTACAGTGTTGTCTTTTCTCTCTGTGGTGGCACGTGGCCCTATGCACAACGCACAGGTCACAAATCAAGTGAAGTTTAGCAACGTCGGTCGCCGAGGGTCCTGGATGGATGACCACGTTCGGCTTAGAGTTTCTAGGGCTTCGTCCTGCCCTACACTGAAGCACATGCAGCACATGTGGTGTTTTCTTGGGCAAGTGACTTTGTTCGTGTTGTGCCTGTGTTTACCCAGCAGTAAATGGGTACCCGGTAGGATGAGATAGCAATGTGGTTGTTAACCCAGGCAGCTTGGGTTTGTAGACTCCCCAGGGAGCTGAGAATGATGGTTGAGTGCACACTGATCCATTGACCAGGGTAATACATGTCTAAACGCTAAGAGCATCCTTATGCATGGAGCACAGCGCCATGTAAATGGACTATTATTATTATCATCATCATCATTATTATTTATTATTATTATTATTGACTTTTCTCTCGCATCACACTTATCACCTTACACGGCCAATTAATCTGAAGACATTTCAAATAGCAGCCGCACCGTCGTTATTGCTTCAGATGCTTCTACAAATAACTTCATTTCATTCGATATTTAGCTGATGACCAACGGTGTCTTTGAGATGTGTTCTTTGTTCTCGGAGGGGAGGAATTGTACTATTTCCATGCGTATTTTTCAGTTAATGCCAAATAACACTTTTAGAGAACTACATGTATATTCTTTTCATATAAGGTCTAACTGCAGAAATTCTGCCCACTAAATTCCGCCACGAAGAAAAAGAGCATTGAGTAGCCTGATGGTTATAGTAGTGGTGATTGGCTTATCGCGTTAAAGACACTGGTTCAACACCCAGCAAGCCTTTTCAGTGTTTGGATTCCGACTTTGGTGTCCTCTGGCCAGGTAATTGCGAAAATGTGCATAAAACCATATTTCTCACTCAATATCATTATTGGATTTTTATCCTGGAAGTTAATCTTTTATGGGAAGAACGTAAAAAAATGGATGGATATGAATTTCCATAAACCCTAATTAAGAGTGACTGTGGGACGTCGTCAAATCAATAGCAAATCAAATAAAATTGACTGTTGAAAGAAAGAAAATTCCAACTGACATCTAACTTTAGGTTAATGCCGAAATCGATTTCCTTAATGTCGGAAAAGCCCATGCTGATTGACGAAGCGAACATGAGAAAATTTAAGAATACCATCCCCGATATCAACAAATTGGTAAAAAGTGTTAAACCAAGGATAATTGATGTCATAAAAAACTATATCTGAATGTATGATCAAAATAGTATGCTGATAAAACTATCATGATATACGTTTATAAATAGCATGTGCAACTGTATACAAAATGATCATATGTATTAAAAGGTGTTACGATACAGTCATCCTGTTGTCATGGGGAGGTGGATGCATCCTACATTGACTTGATCGTTACGCCCACACGGGACATTTTATCCCGAAAGTTTCTCAGGGATGAGAATTTGGAGTGAACGTTTACCTTTCCATCTGTTGTCATGGGGAGGTGGATGCATCCTACATTGACTTGATCGTTACGCCCACACGGGACATTTTATCCCGAAAGTTTCTCAGGGATGAGAATTTGGAGTGAACGTTTACCTTTCCATCTGTTGTCATGGGGAGGTGGATGCATCCTACATTGACTTGATCGTTACGCCCACACGGGACATTTTATCCCGAAAGTTTCTCAGGGATGAGAACTTGCAGTGAACGTTTACCATTCCATCTGGTGACGAATGGCATTTCCAAACACTTGCTCGTCTGAAAAACTTGTACATGAGCCGCGGCCTCATGGTAATTTTTAAATATGTTAATCGCTTCAATTTGTCGTCTTCCGCAAACAACTTCAGAGAGAACTGTTTCCATTTCTTGTAAATGGCGGTACACTAGATTTCAAAGTAATTTTGTAATGGATCTAGGTCGGCAGCTGTAAATATAAAGCTTCAACGCCAGAGAATAATTCTCGATTATCCACCGCAACAGATTCCATTAGGCGTAAAAGCAAAAATAGCGGTGATGATACCAGGTGTTCGCGAAAAGGGTAGCATTTCCTGCCCTACCGGTAGCACCCGCCACTCACAAAGGATGAGGCATAGAATGAGCATCTGTTTCTCGAACATGAGGTGTAAACACAGGGACGTTACAGTGATAAGTGACGATCATTCTTAAGATCTTGATTCTGATTACCAAGTACCTTTAGTCTGGATTTTCACATTTTCTGTGATTGGTAAAACAATGAAATATCAGAGCTATTGACGATCGATATGTGTGGGTTATCTTAAGGCCAACAGATTTATTGGAGTATGGATAATTTCAGGCCATATATAGCTTATCTTAGTACGTATATAGATGCATGGCTTGAATTTGTTTAGGACATGTTGCAACATTGTTGTCTGTGTTTCCTTATAGAAGTCTGTTATGAATAGACTCAGGTAAAATATTGATAAATTTGTTAATGTACGGTATGCCTTTAGAGATATATCAATGTTAGGTGATGTGAAGTGTTTGATGTCGACAAGAAAGAATAAATGACTGTATTGATTCAATACATCGTAATTGTTTCTGCTTTACAAACAGGCTATAAAAAGGAGCTACTGAATCCGGCAAATCAATGATCTTTCTTAGTTCGGGCAGAACAAAACACGCTATTGTTCTTTCCTTCAAGCCGGGGCCCATAACACCGAAAGGTCAATTACTTCTAACAGCGGGCTTCTGCACAATGAATGTGCGGTTTGCTTGTAGCGTACTAACGACATTACGATTTAAGTGATGGTATGAATGACATCCTGGCTTTCTTCTCGATTTTAGTTGTAGGCTATGACATGAAATTATCAATGCACCAATGGCTGTATAAGCCTAATTACTACCTTGACAACTATTGACGTATTATGACTTTCCACTGCACAACTAGCCGTGGCCATACATGATGTCACAAATGATAGAAATATTGATAGATGTTTATCAACCCAAAGCAGGATACATATTTGAATTATATATTATTATATGAAACATATGTATGTAAATGTAGCATTGTTGATGTTGATTTGTACTCCATTTTAATTACTTTGGATTGCAATATTTCCTTATACAGAGAACATGCATACGGAGTTTGCCCTGATGGTCGTGTTGTCCTTAGTGTCAATTTGCTCAGATGGTGGCGCTATCTTTCTTGAGTATCAATAGACATTGATATGTCCTTCCTGATCATTGACTATTCATTCATACAAAGATCGGTCTTAAGGTTTTATCTATGCATAGATCAATGTATCTGGCATTAAATGTGCTATGGGACTGGTAATGCTGCCTGTAACATTGATAATGATTTACGACTCTTGCTCAGAAGTTGTTTGATCAAGGTCACAACATTCAAAGCATCAGTTAAGCTTTCAAAAGGTTTTGTGAAGAACATTTCCACATTTTACGCATCAGTACCAAAAATGATGTCCGATTTAATTCCAAATTTTGACTTGTACCATATGTTCCCGTGTTTGTTCAGGTGAACAATTGACTTGCCGTTGCATGTGTTTGTGACGGGTGCCAGCGGCTCACCTTTCCGTGAACACCTGGTATCATATATTTGATAGTGATTCATAAACACATGCTCATGATATAGTCGGAATCGTACAACACGACTCTGCTTTGTGCAGATATTTCTATTGGATATATAAAGGGTTGTGTCGCTTTATTTTCTGGTTCCGGAACAGTTGGCAGTTCTAGCACGTTTGTATTCAGGCGATTAAAATATCAGTTTTGTCTCAACTTAAATGATATGATGGATATCAATCAAACAGTTAATGCTTACCTACTAACACACACATCTCAGTTTCACACATGACAGTACTTATACCAAGGTGGAAACTTAAAAGAAGCACCATCACCTTAAGCACATACTGCTACCCCTGGCGAGACTCGTGAATCCAGATTGTTGGGTTCTTGTTTGGGAAATTTTCTGGTCATGAGGTTTGCTTTGTGGACGTAAAGTTTTCGAATGCGAAGACATAAGATGTTCATGAATTCTCTAACATAACACTGCCGTTTCTATTCAAATCCAAGCAAAGTAAACAATATTTGAAATAACGCCCACCCTAGCAACCGACGTCAAATACTGCAGACACTAGTGACATTGAAGTCTTTCAGATCTAACGATAACCCAACAATGAGATCAAAGCTATATCATCCCCTCAGCAGATCAAGACGTAATCGGACGATGGACGTGTCTATGGTGTGTGCCAAGACCGTCACAATAGCCCAATCAGTGTATTTTCTCGATCAGCACATCCACCATCAGCTAGACCAATGTCAAAACGTCAACTACTCGTCTTCGTACAGATTTCATCAAAATTGTATTGACATGTTTATAGCCGGGTCCTTGATGTATATTAGATGTCAATCGCAGAACCTTTCATTTGTCAATGTGTCGAAGACATAGTTAAGATCAGTAAGGTGGTCATTTAAGTTCCCAGCAGTCTCTTGCCTGAAGATGTTGATGCCCCAACGCTACGTTTCGTGAAAATGAGTGACACTGATCTATTCATTGTATACGTATTTATATAGATGGCGACCTTTAATGTTACGAGAAGTGAAAAGACTCAAATGTCAACGTCAGAGAATAAAAAGTCTTAAGTATGTAGCGAAACATACATTGTACCATACATAAAAGAAAATTACTAATGACAATTATATGAAATGTCAGTGGTGACAACAGGGGTTCGCGAAAATGGTAACAGTGTCCTCTACCAGTGGCACTAGCCACTCACACAATTACCTCACTCACCTAAACACTCACTCTCAAAGTAATAGCTACCAACACACAGATTATGATAATAACAATCATTTTATTAGCATTAGAAATAATCAAACACGTCTTATCTCGTAAATGAACTTTATCTTAATCACTATTACAATATAAACTCATTAGGAATAACAGTTTATATAAGAAGCAGTTAACACCAGTTGTCATTAATTTTCGAGGTTTCAGTGACCATGGGATTTATCCATGCGACAAAACCTTGGGGGCAAGAACAAATGGCATAGCCCATATGTTCAGTTACGTGTTTGGTACTTTTATCGAAATAAATATATCTGTATCACTTTTTACCGAACCCGATAAAAACAATGTCATATCTTATTCTTTTATTTGGAATGGGAAAGTGGGAAATAAGGTTTGTTTCCATAGATACTCTCTTAGAACATGACATAAATCAATAGTTAAAATACGAGAGTTAATTCTATGTTTCTTATGAAATGGAAACCGCTGATAACACGTACTCTGTATGGAACTAACCTTTGATGTCCAAAGACACTACATTTGATCGATACAAACTATACATAATAACGTTTTGAAAATACAAGGTTTGGAGTTGAGCATTATATTTTAAAGAATAAGTAAAAGAACGTTGCTAGATTCTGACACTACATTCAAGTAGAAATGTAAGGTGTTCAGAACAAGACATACCGGTCGTTGATTGAGAACATTACACATCGATAAAACATTATAAAACATAATAAGAAAATATAGCTTTTCATTTTAACAGTTTCATAAACAATCCTCTACAATACCTCGAAAAAACCCAAAACTTATGCATTTACATGTATACTTAAACTATATTTCCGGGCAAAAGAAAATATTCACATATGCTTGATAAGCCTTATGATAAGGGTATTATTGTCGTGTTTCGGTCTCTGTTTTCAGCCCAGTAACGTTTTGACAAAAATGTTTTTGTTAAATCTGATTTTCAAGATATGCCTTCTTTTGCTCGGCAGGTGAGTTTGCTTCGTATCAGTCATGGGCCCCTTGTGACGAAGTGACAATCGAGTCTTGGGCGTAGCTCACTTAGTGGAATACAGGGGTTGTTGGAAAATAGGTAATGATGGATTGATTTCAATTTCATTTATGAGGTAAATCTGTGATGTTTCCCTGGAATCAAAGAGAACAACGTACCGCAATCAGCAACTTTACAGGATTCATCAGTGTTCACACATTATACCAATGATGAAATACTGTGGGTCTCTTGATTCTCACGATGTCTAATTCAGATTGTACATTACTCGCGCAAGCATGTCAGCATATATGATTCTATTAACATAATGAGTAGTATAACGATAAATTGCATTTTAATATCAATATACAATAATATGAAGTGTTGTTTGAACCCATTACTTACATTGTATCACTGCGATGTCATTGAAGGAAATATCAGTCACTAGTAACATGGATCCCCTTTCTCGGGAAGATTCAACAATAATAATACAGTCAGGGGTTCTTGGTGTTTAAGATCCACCGTTGTCACAGCTAACTATAAAAGTTCATATGTTTGCAACACGTTGTCTGAACCAGCAGACTAGAACAACATTGAGCAACGTTCAACAAACGTGGAATCTGCATACTAACACATCCCATGTATGCATGGTACAAATAACGAAGTGCCTACCTGTTCGTAAAATGAAACTGAGGGTAATCGTATGCTCATATACGTGACCAAGGGTAGCAATAGTTAGCACGTATCTGTGCCCTAGGCTGTGGGGCATTTAACTAACCCAGTATGTCTGTTGAAGAACTTTGTATTCCAGAGAACAAATCAACACAGATACCCTCTACTGAAAACATCTCTTTTCTCATATAATACGATTTTGCGTGACTGCAACAATACTTATATCAGCTAAAGTAGTTTGTATGTACAGTCGTCTCATCGAATGGTAACACTTGCTTTTATATTCATGAACTATCCACTACAAGTAATAAGGCCCCAAAGATAAAATAGACATTCGTCGTGATCGCTGCCTCCTTTTCAAGCAAACAATAATTGGGTGTACAGTGGTTGTTGGCATCGTGTGTTAGTGTTTATGTTGGGAGATGGAGGTGCTGTCATGATGGTGAGGTTGTTGGGGGTTTTCTTATAAGGCACACATTACAGTACTCAGCTAGAGGGTTTTCAATCTGGTTTCAACTTGACTCAGTTGCACCGGAATTCTTTATGGCATTGTCTATACACTGTGTCTGTCAGTCCTTCACTTTCGTCAAACTTCCCCATGTCACGATACGAACCTTTCAACATAGTTTTACCAGTGCTGGTTAATTTCAATTATATCCGTACCTAGACGGCTTTAATGTTTTGGCAAAATAGGATGTCCTATTAGTTTGTGCATCTTTAACTGTTTCGAGCTTGTTCGTGAGGCATAGGCTTCTCCTTCGGCATTTGCTACCACATGTCGTTACAAATAAAACTTTTGTTTCTAACTTGTTATCACGATACAATTTTCCAATAAAGATGTCTTTTAAACTCAAATCAATCGGCCTGGCTCCTGTTATTTGAGACGTGTCTATTGTAGGTTTCCAGTTTGTGACAGATTGTGGCAGAAATATCCAGTCCACCTGTTTCACCTTGTACACATAACGTAATTCCCAATGTGACGTCTTTCGAATTATGGGTCAGTGTGGTTCCTTCGTGTTTCTTCTTTCACTATCTTCTCCCTTGGTCACATTTGAATGTTTACGTGAGATTTTTTTCAGTTTTAAGGTATGGATATTTTTAAAAATCTAAGTGTTTCATAATTCATTGTTTGTACACATGGCGTAGTAAGGTCTAAGCTTGATAGAAAAGATTAGAATCTGCACTGGAATTCTTTTTTTACCATGGGTTTTAGTTATGTGTTATGATGTCCTCCCATTGGAGTAGCGGGATGAATGTCGTCTACACATATATTTCATGCATATGTATAAATAAACATGCATTAATAACGCCATAGTTGAGAGAAGAGCACTGCAAAAACACCTTTGGTTTCCAAGATAATATCACAATGAAGAAAAGATATTCCACATGACCTTTAAAAGTATGGTCAATGTTATTACACAGTAAGCGATACATGCGGATGAACATACATGTACCCCTGGAATCACATACACGTGGTCTTAATATGAGCAACGTCACATGACCTCTGTTCGCCGCCGTCAGAACTATGACGTTCGCCTAAAAAGGTATCTTTAGATGCAAACCTTACTCTCAGTTTGAATCCATTCTTATTTTCCTCCGTGATGATAACACCTTTGACTCTTTCATGTGAACTACTACTGGATGTGGAAGCAGGGTCTCTATGCCGAAAGGAGAATGCAGAGTGTCGTTTAGCGTTCGTAGCTTGATAATCCTCTGTCACCGACATGCACTCTGTCAGGCCGTTGCTCTTCAGACTTGTTTTGCGAATAAGCTTATCAGGACAGAAAACCTCCATTAATCCTCTTTTGAGCTTGATATTAAATATTCCATATAAAAGTGGATTTATAGCACTCTGTAACAATGCTATTGTTTCAGCAAACGCCATAACAGATTTGGGAATCGTGTACTTGTATTCACTGTACACACGTATTAAGGTCGTAACAAAGTAAGGAGTGTAGCACGCAATGAAACTCGCAATGATGCTAAAAGTCATCTTTATGGTCTTTATCTTAGCTCGAGGAATGGCTTTACTGTCCACCATCGAGCGCCGTAGAGTAAGGTTGCTTTCTTTCGATGCCGCAATGTCTCTTCCCTGTCTCCAAACGACAAGAACTACGTTGATATAACAGTAAGAGATGAATATAGCCGGAACCACAAGAATATAGGACGTCATGAAGGAAAAGTATAGCTTCCTCTGCCACCAGGCTGTGTAGCCTGCACTCGAACACTTTAATTTATGTGTTTTTTTATCCTCGTTCTGGAGGAAGATAAACATTTGTGGAATAGCCAACACAAACGCTAAAATCCACGAAGCCACAATCATCTTCTTAGCACGTGACGTGGTAGCACGGTACACAAGTGGTTGACAAATTGCCATGTATCGGTCGAAGCTCATTGCCGTTAGTATAAATGTCGTGCTAGCCAATGTCACGATCTGTATGTAGGTGAGAATCTTACACGCAGCTGGCCCAAGTACCCACTGTCCAAACGCCACAAATAGAATCTCAGTTGTCATAGTGCAGAAGCACACTGTTAAATCCCCAATAGCTAGATTCACGATGAAAATATTCACTCGACTGTAGCGTTTTCTGTAACGGCTGCAATTCAGCACAATTATTATAATAGTGTTTCCAACAAAAGTCAACAGCATTATAAAAAGAAGGGAGACGACTCTTTGAATAACATCCGGTGTCCATATTGGTTCCTCCATTGCTGCTCTCTGTCCAGCGTCTTTGCCCGTGATGTCGCTGCAGTTGGCGTCTTCGTTGCACATGTCCTCGTCACTCTGTGCAAGGAAGGCCATAGATGAGTATAGGCTGGTGTTGTATCCCATGGTGTCCGTCATTTTTCTGAAAATAGAGATATAAAGGTCAATGTTATGATAATGTTAACCTTTTTCTGTAAAGAGTTGCAATGATATTTCAAGTCTATTTAGTTGTAAATTGCTTGGTGTATACAGTTGAAGAATCTGGTTCCTCACAACTGAAACCTTGTTAAACCGGACCCCGAGTTAATCAAGGACGCACGCGTATATATAAAGTGATGCTGCCCCAAAACATAATCCCTTTGTCCACACTTTTACAAGGACTTGTATATCACGCGATATAAGGCCCAACGGGTTTCAAATGCTATGTGTTTACAATACGTGTCAGAAGAGAAGACTAATATCAGACAATGGCGATGTGAACATTATGAATACCTGGCTACCATGTGTATGAGTCACGCTATCCACCACTGGTATGTCTGGTATGATTTTCAACGGTGCATTCATAAATCTAAAACTATTTTGCTTTTGACATCTAATTGGATCTTTTGCGAGATAAGCAAGACTGATTATTCACTGGCTCTGACGTTTTACATTATCCAAGCTCGGGTACGGGGGTGCATGGGTGACTTCATTCACTCACTCACTCACTCACTCCAGGCCTTATTGTAATCCAAGCTAGCGTACATACACGTGTATCCTGTATCCTCTTCACCGATAACTCAAGGTAAGTAACTAAATGTAATTTGAGAATCCAAAGTTACTGGAAAAGTTTACTTGTTTCTTGAAAGGTGTTGAATTCCCCAATAGATGTGGTGCCGCACGCCATTCCGTTTCTTAGAGAAATATTTTCATGTTGATGTTCAATTATCAATGTTTATTAATTGCTGTGCTACTCAATGTTGAGTTTTCATTATATTTAACCATACAAATGCAAGCGGAGTCATTTTGCATGTCTTGAGTTTCATCGCCCAATGATTTTTCTAGTAACGCTATGTCATTCTGCTATATAAGTAGCATTAAACAAACATGGCGGATAGGCACCCGAAATCTGTAGGTGTACCTTAATATTACAGTTAGTAAGTATCTGAACCAATGGTATGGATTGTCGTCGTCTGTAGTGTTCTGGTAATATGGTTAGTTTAGAACTCAACTCAGTCTACTTTTCTTGTATTCACCTTGATATTATAATATTGAGCCAACGAACAGTGTGCATTTATTAAACGACAAAAATGTTTCAATGTATTTCCTGCTACGTACATGAATAACAAACAAAAATGTTAAAACGAAACATGATACTTTTCATTTCATTCTGACATTTATATTTCTTAGGAATATTTCGACTAAAAAAACTAGCTTTCATACATAGCACATTAGCTTGTCTCAGTGCACTTTACTGTTTTCGTTTTGATCGAAAAAATATGTTTTGGCATTATTCTGAAGCTTTTTAAAGTCTGTTTTACATTAACGTGTACTTTGTTATATTTCCTCCTCTTTATGGTATAGTTTGTAAAGAAAGTTTCTCACAGTGGCGTAACGTAAAGAACATTAAATGTCCGGACATAACTTTTGTGAAACTTAAGAGCAAGGGTATGGTATATATTGATGGCATATCTGGATTTCATCATATTCTGCATATCTGGATCATACCATTCTGCCGCACCAAGGTGCGCATCTCTACACGGCAAATTCTTTTGTTTAAGTTTATGGAACGGATTTGCCACTTTTATTTTGGACGACTGTTCCAAATCTTGGCCGACCATAATGTACGGACAGTAGACATCAACAGTGCATACAAGACGTTATGAAATGTTAAGTAGGTAGAGACACGCTGATACACTGACGCACTGCGTGTTCAGATGCACGTGAGGGCACGGGTGGCCTAGTCGTTGGGCACGCCCGGATCCTATGATTGTTGTTTCGAATCCCGGTTGGCCCCGATTATGTTTCTAGGTTTGTCAGCAACATACCCGTGCTCGTGGGTTTCAGCGAAGTGGTAGACGTCTGAGACCTGCATCACTTCGGGCTTTATGGCGTGGCCAAGGGACGCAACTCTGCACAGCGAATCGCGGCGCCTGAGACTACTGGGCAACCCCCCTTAGAGTGAGTGAGTATGGTTGTACACCGCTTTTAGCAATATTCAAGCAATATCACGGCGGGGACATCAGAAATGGGATTCACATATTGTACCCATGTCGGGAATAGAACCCGGGTCTTCGGCGTGACGAGCGAACGCTTTAACCACTAGACTACCCGACCGCCCCCTCTGAAGGTTAGAGCATCCTAACTTAATTCATATTTACTGAAGGGTGATGCAGTAGTTAGATGTATATATTTATCATAACACAAACACACATGTAGAACCACTCATGTGTACAGAAACACGGGCTTACATGGAATGAGTGTTTGCGTTAGTATAGATAACAGTTAGGAGCAAGGGACTAGACAGAGTTAGTTCATGTTGAGCACGCACCATCATCACGGGACTGTTATCGAACTGAGATCTAAGTCATGAAACATGTATTATTGATGTTGTCTAACAGTGGCGGTCAGTCGATAGACGCACTTGTTAACAAGCAACAATTGCCATTAGTGACAAGCTGTACCTAAAGAGGTGAACGCAGCCATGACTCCGACAGAAAGATGCTGATTTGTTGATGGATGTCAATGAATGCACGAGTTGTAATTTAGGTCGGTGTGCATCTATTTAGAGTATCAATTATTATGTTGCAGGGAGAGACCTGGCCTGTATGGCCGTTACGCTTTCTCTTTCAAAATAACGAGATTCTCAGAATAGATCCTTATTACGCAACGCGGCGACTTCTAATTCCGAAGTGACCCTGTTCCGAGGTCTTTTTCAAAATAGTTTTGAATGATGATGATATGGTTGTTTCAGAAATACACCAGCTGCTCAAGGCCATTATTCAAGTACATGAAACCTGACTATTTCGTGGGCTCTGCCATCTGCAATACATGTATAGGGTCAACTCAACCCTCCACCCCCCACCCCCCCCCACACCCCACCCCCACCCCCACCCCCCAATGGGATATCGGATTGTTCTTCATTACTTGTAAATGGATTATTTTGATTTTGTGTACAATTTGGATTTTTAATTTATCTTTCATATTCAGAAATAGAATGTGATTGGATTTGTTATCAAGATTATTCTGCAGTCACTGTTTTGTCAGAATCAATATTTATCATAAACCAGAACAAGAATTCGATATGTGACGTACTGACCGCCAAAGGCACTCAGCGTTAATGTGCTAGCTTATCTACTGTTGCATGATAAAATCATGTCACACATGATTAGATTAATTAGTATCGTCACAATAAATCGACGCGAACCTGTTAGCAAGTGCAAGCCATCGATTTCAAGTTTATTTGAACCGTTATCGTATTAATAAGTCTTCAGTGCATCTTCTCAAACAACAGTTCAGGGTCTGAATGACGTCATTCACACGTTCATATTTGTTTTGGCGCCACCTTAAAGAGTTCTTAAAGTGAATTCGCAGCATGTCAGCTTAATATGGGAGGAAAGCTCGAAGCAGTGAAATCCACGAACATGTGTTGACAAAAAGAAAATAATTAACGTGGTATCAGGGATTCGAGAACATGAACAGCGGACCCTGACACAGCTAGGGGACGCAACTTAGACCACCTAGCCTATTTCATCTTGTGACCGCCTCCGTGGTCTAGTGGTAGAGCGTCCGCCCGGAGATCGGAAGGTCCGGGGTTCGATCCCCGGCCGCGTCATACCAAAAGACGTTAAAAGATGGTACTTGTTGTTACCCTGTCTGGCGCTCGGCATTAAGGGGCTAAAACAAGGACTGGTCGGCTTGGAGTCAGTATACTGTGTCTGAGTAGGGTATTCATGTTAAACTGCCGCATGGTATCTCAGTGGGCTAGCACTATAAATCGGCATCAGTCCGGACTAGTACAAGCAGCCACACACACACATACACGTACATGCACGTCGCTATATAAGTGCAATAATCTTGGTCGCGACGTTAAACCCCATTTCACCTCACCTCACCTCACCATTTCATCTTGTAGAAATGAAGATATAAGAGCATTTGATATGCACCGATTGAATAAATGCTTATTGTATGAGTATAATAATACTTTTAACTATTACCATAAAGTTAGAATGATCTGATGTAATAACATTCCGATTTTCCGACATGTGCATTTTACGGATTCTCAAAGCTGATTGGTCAGTTAAGGTCATATGACACAGTGTTGTATTGTTGACAATGATACGATATGACGTCACAAATTGATTACATTACGTCATCTGAACAAAGTTGCGACGTGACGTGTCTCTGTAAGGGTGACATGTCATGCCTTTCGTCATTTTCTTCAATAAAATGTCAAAGATTAACACAGAATAACTAACCTGAAACTCGGAACTAAAGATTATCTTGGTGACTGATTATACTTTTTGAATGAGTGAGTGAGTGAGTTAAAGCTTTACGTCACATCGGCAATATTTCTCTTCTTGAATGAATGTTGTAAGTCCATCGACAAAGGTTAGGGATAAACATTCATTCACTCGGGAATATATTCCGTAATTTCTCGTAGTGTATCAAGGATATATTGGATTGTTGTGGTTTAAGCTTTGTATGGTTGACTCAAAGTGTTGGTAACAGACAATGGTTGCTGTCCACTGTAGAAAGTAGACTTAAAGACCAGATTATACAGGGATGGCACAACGACCAAACTATGTCATCAAGAGGACAATTTTTCTCTTGTATCAAACCAGAATTTGGCTTTGAACCCTATATTTATAAAAATTATATAAACTTGTTACCATTGACTATGTTAAGAACCCGCAATCACTCTCTATCTGCTAAGAAGGGACGATGGATAAATTAACCTACGTTGATAGGACCTGTCCATGTTGTAATACCTCTATCTGTGACGAGTTTCACTACCTGTTTGAGTGTACGCATTTAGAAACTGATCGTCAGCGTTATCTTAAAAAGTACTATTATGTCAAGCCCAATTATCATAAACTTCAACAACTATTTACTACTCCTAAAGTCTCGGTGCTAAGAAACCTCAGCAAATTTGTCTCCTGT